AAAATAATAAGTTTTCCGGGATGTTAAGTCTAAAAACGTCTGTCTTTAAATTTGAATAATGGTTCAGCTGAATATGAAAGTCCATGTTCAAGATCTTTTTCACTCGGAATACAGTCGACATTTCTCAATTGTCTTTTTGCCTCTGATACAGTGCCAAAATTCCAAAGCCAGTGATTTTGTATTCCCTAGTTTAAAAAAAAATCTGGAAGTTTTTATGATTTTCTTTTTATCATTGAAGTTCAGACATTTTACCAAAATGTATCTTTTTTTCATTATCCCTGCTATGCCCTCAATTCCTCAATTAGCTTTTTTGCTTTTTGAGATGAGATCTTGCTCTGTGTCCCTGGCCTAAAGTGCAGTGATGTCATAGCTCACTGCAGCCTCAAATTCCTGGGCTCAAGCAAAATTCTCTTCCCTCAGCTTCCCAAGGTGTTAGGATTACAGGCGTGAGTCACTGCATCTGGCTGACCCAACCTTTATTTTAACTTAAGAAATTTTTTTCTGTCGGTTCTTAATTTTCTTCTGTCCATTCCTACTGTTTTCTGGAACTGGTGGATATTGGATTTTATGCATCCATCTTTCACAAATCTCAACTTTTTTCTCATATTCTGCACTTTTTATTCTGTGTGATAGAAAAATTTTTTGAGGCTGGGCATGGTGGCTCATGCCTGTAGTCTTAGCCTTCTGGGATGCCAAGGTGGATGGATTGCTGGAGCTCAGGAGTTCAAGACCAACCTGAGCAAGAGTGAGAACTCATCTCTACTAAAAATAGAAAAATTTGCCAGCAGGGTGGCAGACGCCTGTAATCCCAGCTACTCAAAAAGCTAAGGCAAGAGGATCACTTGAGCCCAGGAGTTTGAGGTTGCTGTGAGTTATGATGATGCCACAGCACTCTACCCAAGGTACAGAGTGAGACTCTATCTCAAAAAAAAAAAAATATATATATATATTTATTTATTTATTTATACATATAAACTAGCCAGGCTTCGTGGTGGGTGCCTGTAGTCCCAGCTACTTGGGAAGCTGAGGCAAGAGGATTGCTTGGCCCAAGAGTTTGAGGTTGCTGTGAGCTATGATGACACCACGACACTCTACCCAGGGCAAGAGAGTAAGAATCTGTCTCAAAAAGAAAAAAAGAAAATTTCATTGACCTTTAGCCACGTTCCTTCTATAATACATTTCACTATTCAGAATTCTTCACTTCTTTGCTGACCTTAGTCTTTCACAGTTAACTTACTATTGTTTTGTAGATGCAATATCCTCTTCAATCTCTCTGGGAATAAAAAATTATAAGAGCATCTTCTAAAGTTCTTATTTTTCATCCTGTCGTTTCCTTTAGAGTGTGTTTTTTTTTATCTTGATCCCCTCACATCCCACCCCAAGCTACCAGTAATTCTCCAATGCCTAGTTATCATAGTTCATCACTGGTTTATAGTTACAAATGAACAGGAGTGGATTTTCTCTGTGCTTCTATAGGTCTATGCCTGCAGACCACTTTCCCCGAATGAAAGCCTGACTTCAGATGTGGGAATGAAGGGATGACAGGAGATGATTGGGATAAGGGGTAAATCCTTATCCCGGTTCCAGGTGATTCCTGTGTAGGTGTTCCTAGGACTTTGCTTAGAGATTCTATTTTGGGAGGTGTGGCTAAACAGGTGGGCAGGTTAGCAGGTGGCCCCATGCAAGGGAAGATTGTCTCAGTATATTTCACTCTTTCAGAGATGCCTTTCTTTTTTTCCCCCATGACACTTTCTCAGCAGAAGTTCCTAGTTCCCTGGTTGTAGTTGCAGATTCTGATTATGGATGCCTCAGCTCTGGGGGTGAAGAGAAAGGAGGGGTGCAGTGGCCAGGCTTTCACTGAGGCTGTCAGCTTAATTTCTGGGAGACAGAGTAAGGAGATGGAGCTAGGACTTCTTATCCTTGACCAGAAGTAATCCAGGGAACTGCCCAATTCTCTCTCCGGCCCACTGTCCCCTTGGGGCCATAACAGAATTCCTTCCTTATCTATAGAACTGTATTTATAGCTTCCGCCTGGGACAAACCCCACACATGAAGGTCCTGCCGTGGGAACTGGCAAAGTCTTAGCTCTTCACTTAAGCCAGGTTTCTTTTCCCAGAAACCACTGACTCTGCTGAGAAAAATCCTCTTCTTCAGGGATGAAGCCTTATTCTGCAGTCTGGCACGCCTGGTTCTGGCCAACTTCTTTGATCTCTCCCATTACGAACATAAAAATGAACTACAAAAAGAAAAAAATCCTCTTTCCCAGTGATCTCCTTCACCTCCATGAGGATACCCTCTTTTTCAGCCTTCTTATAATCTGCCATCAAGCTGACCCACGTCCTTCATAGAGAACAGGAATGCCTCACCTTATAATAAGTTAATGTCGTCTTTTCTGACTCCCCACTGCTACTGTGAACTTAGGTTTAACTTCTATCATTTGTATGGGATTTAAAGAGATTCAAAAAAGGCAAACACAGATGCTTATGTTCTAGCCTGTATTTTGATCCATTTATGATCATTCTTCTCACTTGCATTACTTCACTGAATACTATTGAATTCAGAAACTTTGGGTCTTGAAACCAACCCACTAAGGCCTGAATATATGACTGGGGAGATGGTGACCCAGAAGCTTCTGAATTCTCCATGGAGATTTTGTTTCAGAGCCTTTGGGAAATTTTCAAAGGGTTGTTAGATTAAAACTGTGCTAAACCTAAGGGGAATATAGTGTCATTGAGTTCTCTGACAGGTCAAGTTGCTAGCTTGGAAGAATGAAAGGGGGGATGAGATGGGGGCAGCATCTTGGCAGTGTGGGTGCCAGGGGGCAGCTTAGGGAGGTGTTAGGTCATAACAATCACAGCTGAACAGGAGTAAGGGATAAAAGCCAAGACTTCCCATTCTCGCCAAGCATCTGTTCACTCACAGAGCTCTTTGTGTTCTTGGCGAGGACAGAAACGTGTTCTATCCAGGGTAATTGCATAACACTTACATACTTGAGTTTCCCAGTTCCTCAAAAACAGCAAGTTCTTTTTTGCTTCCTGACTTTGTGTGGTATCCTTTGTTAGAAATGCCCTTCTCTGAACTCTGCCCAGCAAAACTCAACCCAATCTCGAGGGCTCCAATATAAGCCCACATAGAAGAAAAACTCAATTCAATTCAAGATGGGGTGAGAGAGAATGAGAGGGAGCAGAGGGGTATAGGGGATTGGTGTGCTCCCACTGAATGGACACACGTAAGGGTATATGGCACACGTCTTGGGTGCAGGACAAGACTATAAGAGGGACTCTATCTAATAAATGCAAATATTATAAACTAGTTGTTTGTACCCTCACATTAACCTGAAATAAAAAATTAATAAATTTTTTTAAAATCTTGAGGGCTCAATTTAAATGCTATCATAGAACCTTCCCCCATCATCACAGCTAGAAGGACTTATCTCTTTGTCTCTGCAATCTTGTAACAGATGATATATCATCACTCAAACAGATCGCAGGGCTTCTTTATGTCATGCAATGTGCTAGGGGCTGGGCCTTAGGAAAACCCCAAGAAGTGAACAAAATATTTCAGTCTGAGGAGAAGACTGAAAATAAGCATAAGATAGAACACTTGGGTGCAAGAATCTTATCCTTTCATCACTAAGTCTCCAAATCATTATGCAACCTTGGAGTAAAAAGACAAGGCTCAGCCAG